GTCATATTAATTTTATGTGTTTGTCAACTTTAATGCTATTGTCTAGGCTGTAACAGTGTATAACCGCTATTGCACCACATATAATATATAGTATCTTATCTGCATGTTACCCATTCACACTTCCTATTATATACTCACAACACACAACAAGAGTTGTTTCTCTTTGACTTTGCTTTTTTGATATTAATTGATGTTTTTTCATTTGTATCCAATTGCAATATTAATTGTATTGTATTTTGTCCTATATATTACTATTGGCCTAAGATAATATATTATCTAAATATGGTGATAAAAGAATAATATCTTCATGAAACAGGTGTGTGGCTATTAGGATCATATCAATGGTACAATTACCTAATTAAATTTAGTATAAATTCTCCATTAGTAGAAATATAGTCACATATATCATTCCATTTTGAGCATGCAAAAAACCAAATGTCTCTACCTGTCAAATTACTAGAAGTGTCCAAAACAATACCTCGCACCGTTTAAAAAAGAATGACCTACCGTACTATCTTTTGAGTTTGTTTAAAAATGAATAACTTTTTATTTTTGTTTTTGACGATATTTTAATTATAACTTTCCATAGAACATGGTTAAATTTATAAGATATATTTTGAATCACAAGATTGAAAAATATTTTTTATTTTATTACATTTCATGTGAGAAGTCAAACTAGATCATTCATTTTTTAAAACGGAGAAAGTAATTTATATTCGATATGCAGAATGGCCAAGCCTTCTATTAGTGAGATGACCCCTGGGGTCTTGTGGCCCAAGGCATATGGCCTACTTAGCCCAATCTTTATCTTTACTATATCTTCATTTTGTCTTTATTGCATGACATGAACATACTTGGGTCCTCATGGTGTGTAACGCAAGTCTGATAGCTGATTAGAGTTGTGTAAGTGTGAATAATGTAGAAATTAGTTATTGGTGAATTTATATATTATTTTATATACGTATAAGATATTTATGTATTAGTTATTTCATCTTTTATTATGTATAAAATAATACATAGAGTTTCTCATAATTTATATATGTATTAGCTATGTGAATTTTTATGTTGTTAGCCAAATGTCATATTAATTTTATAGGTGAATAAAATTATTTCTTATCTACACACCAGATATCGTATAAGTTATATATGCACAACTTGTTTCTTATCTATCTACCAAACGTCCCGTTAGAGTGCAATACTAAGGATCGGTTTAGATGTGAGTTATTCCATATAAAACATTGGATTTCTATTTAGATACCTACATAACTTATACATATATAAGTTATGGGAGAATTCGTGTATTTTTTGTACAGGATAGATGGTGAAATGACTAAATTATATATGATAAGCACTGCATAAACAGAGGACAAATAACACTATGTGCATGTATATAGCTAATTTAAAGAGAGAGAAACAAACCTGCGTTGGTTTTTCCATAGTCCAATCGACAACAAATCAAATGAAATCTTGTGTATATATGTTTTCTATTGTATATATTCACCATTTAAAGGTCTTGATTTGAACACAGGGTCTAGTGATACTCACAATACAAGCTCGATCGGACTCGTTGAAACCATCAAAGTGCAAGCCAGAGATGGCTTGTGAACAAGTCCGCGGTGCACAAGCTGCAATGTTGTTTATAGGACTTTACTTAGTGGCATTGGGTGTTGGAGGTATCAAAGGATCATTGCCACCCCATGGAGCTGAACAATTTGACGGCGAAACACCACAAGGGAGGAAACAAAGATCAACTTTCTTCAATTACTTTGTGTTTTGCCTCTCATGTGGTGGCCTCATTGCCGTCACATTTGTTGTATGGGTTGAAGACAATAAAGGTTGGCAATGGGGATTTGGGATTTCAACGCTCGCTATATTATTATCGATCCCAATATTCCTTGCTGGTTCACCTTTCTATAGGAACAAAATACCTCGCGGAAGTCCTTTAACTACTATATCTAAGGTATGTGAACACACAAACAACGAGTTAACTATTCGTAGTTTTAGATTGACTAATACGTTGTTGTTGTTGTTGTTCTATAGGTTCTTATTGCTGCAATGGTAAACTCGTGTGCATGGACAAATTCAAGTAGTGTAATAGCAAGTCTGGGATCAAGCCCTTCGACAATTCCAGTACTATCGAATGAAGATGAGGAGATTAGTAGAAACAACAAACATATAGTAGAATCGAAAAGTCTGAGATTTCTTAATCGAGCAGCTGTAAAGAAACCAGCAGCAGCTTCTGGTGTGCTACAATGTTCGGTACAGGAAGTTGAAGAAGTGAAGATTGTGGTGAAAATCCTCCCGATTTTCGGCTGTACTATTATGCTCAACTGTTGCTTAGCTCAACTATCCACATTCTCAGTTCAACAAGCAGCAACTATGAATACAAAATTTGGAAAGTTAAAAGTACCACCAGCTTCACTTCCTATATTCCCTGTACTTTTCATCATGATCCTGGCACCAATTTTCGACTACTTCATCATTCCATTTGCTCGTAAGGTAACGAAAACTGAAATGGGAATCACTCACCTCCAACGTATAGGGATCGGATTGTTCCTCTCTGTTATCGCTATGGCAATTGCAGCTCTCGTTGAAATCAAACGGAAGAGAGTAGCTACTGACTCCTCACTACTCGATTCTTCAAAGCCATTGCCTATAACGTTCTTTTGGATCGCGATTCAGTACTTGTTTCTTGGATCAGCTGATTTGTTCACTCTAGCTGGACTGTTAGAATTCTGTTTCTCAGAAGCAGCATTTAGTATGAGATCATTAGCAACATCACTCTCTTGGGCTTCATTAGCAATTGGATACTATCTAAGCACAGTGATAGTATCCATTGTCAATAATGTTACAGGAGATTCAAAGCATCAACCATGGCTAACCGGCAAAAACTTGAATCATTTCCATTTGGAGAGATTCTACTGGTTAATGTGCATACTCAGCGCGTTGAATTTCGTACATTATTTGTATTGGGCAAGAAAATACAAGTACACATCAGTATCCTCTCAAGGATAACAAGTGACAGCGCGGATATATATATATATATATGTATACAGACTGATGTATCCTTGTACTGTAAATACGTCTGATGAGTTGCGTGGGCGTTGTCCACGCAACAGCCAAAAAGGGCTAGCTAGACGAGGTAAAGGGGATATCTATCCGGTTTTGATCAATTGATAAAGAGTTGATTTCAGTTTGTGTTCATAGGTTCTTTTGTTGTGTCACATCTTCATATAACAAGCTTAAGGTTATCAATGCTCAACAAATGTCTCTTATAAGTAATTTGAGCAAGTTTATATATATATATATATATATATATATATATATATAAACAAAATAAATAAACTTTTTTTGGAGAAGTCGTATGTACAAGCTCGTCATTTTCAAAGTTAATTTTGGGCATCTAGGAGCTAATTTACAGGAATTAAGTGATTTTCTAAGTTTTTTTTTTTGTGTGTGTGTTAGCCTATTAATATCTTAAAGATATGACTTCTTAATGATTTGTTTGTGAAATCTTTAGGAACACCCCCCCCCCCCCACAAGGAGTTGGGGAAGCAATAAATGAAGTATCACCATTTTCAAAGTCCGTTTTTGGCATGTAATAGCCAATTTAAAGATATTGAGCAATTTTTTAAGTTTTTCGTATGTGTTAATCCATGAATATTTTGGTGCTATCTCTTATAGGCAATTTCCTCGTATAACATTTACTTAATTTTATACGTACAATCTTATAATTTTCAGAACCCATTTTGGACATTTAGGGGTCAATTTACACGAATTAGGTGATTTTCTCAAATTTTTGTGTTAGCCCTACATATTTTGGTGACAAGGGAAGAATTTCTTTGTGAAATCTTTATGGAATATTTTGTAGGGAGTCGGGAAGCAATGTGTATAGTTTTACCATTTTCAAAGTCCATTTTGGTCATTTAGTGATCAATTTTATAGAAATCATGCAATTTTCTCAATTGTTCGTGTGTTAGCCCATAAATATTTCGGTGATATGACTTCTAGATGGTTTCTTTGCAAAACCTTTATGGAAACTTTTGTAGGGAGTTAAGGTAGCAATACGTACAGTCTCACTTTTTTTTTGAGTGTATTTTGGGTAATTAAGGGCTAATTTAAAAAATTATGTGATTTTTAAAAATTTTTGTGTGTGTTAGCCTATGAAAATTTTAGTGACATGACTTTCATATGATTTCCTTGCGAAACCTTTGTGGAACCCTCCGTGGGGAGTTGGGGGAGCAATACGTACAATCTCACCATTTAAAGAGTTCATTTTGGTCATTTAGAGGTCAATTTACAAAAATTAGGTAATTTTATCAGTTTTATGTATGTTAGCCTATAAATATTATAATGATATGACTTCCAGATGATTTTTTGTGAAACCTGAACCGAACCCTTTGTAGGGAGTTGGAGAAGCAATACATGTAATCTCATCATTTTTAGAGTTCTATTTTTGCCATTTAATAGCCAATTTAAAGAAATTCGGTAATTTTATCAATTTTTCGTATGTGTATTCATGAATATTTTGATTATATGAAATCTCTATCAGAGAGTACTTTCTACCGTGGAACTAAACCAAACTAGATAAATAAGAAAGCAAACTCCTTAAGTGGTAGATGAACTGCTAGATCATAATTCTGCCAACTATGGACAACTGCAATTAAGATCGAAGATACGAGAGATAAATTCACAATTTAAAGTTTATGAGTCCACGCAAAAGGTATTAAATATGTACAAGAAGACATTTAAGTTTGTGTAAAGTTGAACAAGTAAACACACATATTTTACGTGACATATTACCATAGAGCGTGAAATTACCACATAGAATATATATATATATATATCTACTTTTTCAATACGAAATTTAATTCCTACTTATGCACATCTAAATTAAAACACACAGATGCTAGTTAATGTCGAAATAAAAGAAACGTTTACGTAATATACCGTAAAATATTAGCCTGCCACAAGGAATAAGACATTCCACTCTACACAATCACTCTAAACATGGTGATATAAATAATCAACTACTCAAATCCTTTTTTTTTATTCCAACTCCATACAAAAAAATATGATGCACCTAGCAAAATATCTCACATGTGATCTAAACTCAAAAACAATATAGTAAAAAATTGCTATAATGGTCACTGTATTTTCACCCAAACACTATGACTAGGAACACCTTGATGAACTACAAATACCATATAATATCCTGGAGGTGCAACATTCCTTGTTGGAGGTGCAAACACTATAACTCTATAACCAAACATAAAAAACCTTTCTACTCTCACAATTTCCAAAAACAACAACCTTTGATTCATCCCAAATGAGTGTGTTGTAAATGAAGGTGGGATCATGCTCACCATGAACTCTGCATCGGGCTGCGGGAACGGTAGAGTGAACGTGATCGAGAACTGTTGATCGTACGATATAACTTGTCCCACATCGATGGCTTGGTTTAAAGGTCTTAGATGCGCGTATTGTGTAGCCAAATAAGGTGGTGAAAACGCCTCTAAGCTTAATTCTGTCGGGTACTTTACGCCTGTAAAGTTGTACGTTGCATGCGGATTACTACCACCCACTAATATCCTCCCATCTGGCAGTAAAATTGCTGATGAATGGTACATTCTTGCAATTTTAGTAGGGGTGAGCACAGTGAATCTTCTCCTCGGGTCGGGTTCATCGGGTCGGTAAAGAACCGGGTTTAAAACCGGGTCAATCGCGTTCTCCCACCCGGCTGCTCCATTCGCCGCCCCGTTTAGTATAAGCACATTTCCTGTAGGTAACAACAACATATCCGGCATGACCCGACCCAAAGGCATTTCCTCCATGACCCATTTCGGATCCGGATCCGTTATTCTCATTCGCCCACATGAACTTGAACCCCGCCAAAACTCCCCTTCCAATGCCTTAACATACGCGCCACCCCACGCACCGCCGCAGATCATCACCTCCACCACCGGTTCCTGACCCTGACGTAAACGTAACGGAAGCATTACCGAAGACCCAGTTGCCGGATAACTCCGTTTCTCGCCGGGAATCATGGGGAATTCCCTGAGAACATTGTGATTAACATAATCTAGTTCAATTGATCGTTGATTTGAGAAAATGTAGAGATTTCCGTTGGGTAAAATGTACAAGAATGGGTAAAGATTGTTTTCTTCAATTGGGTCTGTAGTTTCCACTAAGAATGGAAGCTGAAAACCCCCACCATTTTCGTCCATTGTTTTGGGGAAAAATTCATAGCTGAAAGCTTTTCTTCCACCAACAATGATTACACGTCCATCAGGGAGTATATGATCAGAAGCATACCATCTCTGAACCGTTAAATTTTGCGGTAATTCAGTCCAATCACAATCACCATCACACGGCGAAAACAGCCGGATTTTACGATCCCCGGTATGGTATCCACCGGTTTGAATTAATGTACCATCGGAGTTGAGTGCACCAGAGGAACACCAAACATCAGTTTGAACCATGAGTGGACGGTAAGTGTTTGATAAAATGTCATAAAGAACAGAATGAGCAGAGCAATCAACATCAAGAACTTCATCATCGAAACGACATTTTCCTTGTGGAAGTGAGAGATTAGAAGCTCCGAAATCCGTTCTATCGAAAATGATCACTTTGTTGTTGTAGAGAAGCTGCATATGCATTGCAGAAACACCAATTGATTCATGTAAAAGTACCCATTCACCATTTACATTTGATGGTATAAACGGTGGATGAAATATAGTCGGTATAAGCTGTGAGTTTCTACGATGATGACGACGATTGTGACGATGACGGTGAGGCAATGAAGATGATGAAAGAATCAAGATTGTGAATAGAAATGAAAAAGATTGAATCTTGATCAGTTCCATTTGAATTGATGAAGATCAAAACAGAGCAATACAGAATAAAACAGAGCAAAACAGAGTTCTGAGTATTTTAGTTTAGCAGTTGTTACGCTGATTAGTTTGAGTTTTTAACTAAATAAATGGAGTAATAGACGCAAAGAAAATTTAGCATGAATTTGTTAAAACTAAACGAAAATTTCTCAATTTTATTTCTCTCCATGAATTTAGGGATTGTTAATATTGTCAAATAATTGAAAGAAGCACAAAAAAATACATAAATTAGATTGGTAATAATGCCATGTATATTTCAGAAATTCTTGTTTTGTGGTTTATAATTTTAACTTAGGTACAAGTAGGGATCGTTTGATAATTGATTAGGAAATATATTATGTATGTGTAATGTTATATTTAAAATTATCTAAAAAATTAATATGGTGTTTGATTTGGGATAATGAAAAATATGATTCAAATTATTGTTTGAATATTTTTTCTTAAGTCTGTATTACCTCACAAATTCGCATACACGAAATAAGAGGAATATTTGTGAGGTAGTATTTTTTTTAACATTAGCTAGGAGAAATATTATAAAAGTATTAGATTCTGTGTAAGTAATATCATGTTTGGTAATTGGTTAGGATTATATATGTATAATATTAATATAATGTTTGATATATAATTTAGAAATCTGAATAATCAATACATGTATAAGTTATTAGAGAATTTATGTATAATTTGATAATACATAAATAACTAAATCCTCTGATGGCATAAACTAATATAAAAAAATTTAATCAAAACTAATTCATATATTACTAATATCTACATATTCTATTCTGCTACCAAACAATTCATAAATACAAGAATAATTCATAAATGAATAAAAATGATCAAAGATAAAATTATTCTTAATACACCAAATCAAACTCCGAATAAAAAATAATTACAATATTACTAATACACTTTATTCAATAATATTATGTTACATTCTTTTAACTGACCACTAATAAGTTGCAAGCAAACTTAATTAGTTGCACCCTTTTTAATTTTATTTTATGTAGCATTCGACAACTTCCTAAAATAGAAAAACCTTTCCTTCTGCAATTTTAAACCGATAATTAATTGCAACTTTTTTGTTAATTATTAGTTATTTAAGTTTCCCTAGTAGAGGCTTGACAATTATTTACGTAGAGCTTATTATTTCATGCTCATCATGAAGAGAGAAGCATTTTTTTACTGTTTATATTATTTTAAAGATAGTTATAATGGTATAAAATTTTAACTCTAGAAAAATATAATATTATTCAGTAAATCTGGTCAAGTTTGAACAAATTGGATGAAAATATTCATTCTTTCGTTTTTCATCGATTGGAGAGGATATAGGAAAGATGATGTGACGATATATTTGACCAGATCATATATATATTCTTCAGAATTTTTTCATAGTCAAATGCAAATATATCAAATTGAAGGTGTTTTAATGGCAAAGAAAATTATCAAAAGAGCATAGATGATCAGATTAGTTTGATATAAATCCATCAAGATTGAAATTTTTTTCTCTGACTGTGAATGATTCATAAAAAAAAGATGATCAAATTAATTTGATGTGAAGAGGTAAACATTTTGTTTTCTTTTTTTTTCCCAATTCATTGAGGCCCAAATTAATTATCCTTCAAATACCTATTTTACAAATATTAAGTGTATTTTTATTTCGGGAAAAGTAATTACAAAAAATTTATACGTATGTGCGAATTCAAATTTCACAAAAGCCACAAAGCTACGTGATTTCTTTTTATCTGTCTAAACCACGTTTGACAGAATTCCCTGGTGGTAGAAAATGAGTATCCCGAGGAAAAGTTAAAGCGCACGCAAGTTGGTTAGAAAGCAAAGTATTATATTACAAATGTATTTAAAAGTGAAGCACACAAAAAGGTAACAATGTTGATGAGGCTTGAAGTGAGATGCACAATTTAAGAACAAAAAAATACTTTAACATACATGGATTTAGTACTATGATAATCAAATTGTAATTAGGATAACTAAATTCAACATGCAATATAGAATAAGGCCAATATTAATCCAACTCCTCAAAATTGAGATTCAAAGAACTAACCTTTTTGTCTGGATGAGTTTGCGTCATTATTTGAAGAAGATGCTTCTTCAAGCCCATGGCTTCACCTATGGGCTATGAGGTGCCCCTTCCTTCACATGGCTTCATTGCTTTAAGTGACATCGCGATGACCTTTAACAACACTGGCTGTTATACGAAAACAAAAACAGTAAAAAGCGATTTGTCCAACGCTTTAGTTTCTGTGTCAATATTCAAATTTGACCATCTTAATTGAAGGAAGCTGACCTGAAAGGACTTCACAGACAACTGCTTAGGGAACAGATGGACCGTGAAGATTGTCACACGCGAGCTTGAAATAACTCTTCGTACTGCATGGCTTTCAAGTTAGTTCACAGGATCTGCGATAAGTGGCAAGGTTAATGAAGTCAATTGTATGCTTGCACTCAGAGATCTCATTCGTTGCTTCATCTTTGAACCACCAACATCTTTAACATCGATTTTGGATTTTCTCGTGCAACGAGAGCCAGTTCATGCAGACTAGGCATAAGATGCAATAGTAGTCTGTTCTACCAGTTTTAACATATACAGGATGTTAGATTATGTCACTCCTACAGTACTGTATCCTGGTAGTTTATCGAGTCCTCTTTCATCAATTGTTTCTCTGATTCTTTCAGCATCGTCCCATCTTCCTTGTCTAGCATAAAGGTTGGACAAAATCACGAAAGGAACAGGGTTTTCTGGCTCCAATTCTGAGAGCTTTTGGGTCATTTCTTCTCCCATCTTGGCATTAGAGAATTGCTCAGACGCTGCTAGTAAAGAAGCAAAAACAGATGCAGAAGGCTCGGGAATGAGCTGTAGTAGTTCTCTAGCTTCATCCAGACGACCAGATCGAGCAAGTAGATCAACCATAATATTAAGCTGCTTTAGAGTTGGGATTAAGCCAAAATCTGTGATCATCAAGCGAAAAACTTGCCATGCTTTCTCCAATTTTCCGATATGGCTGCACACAGACAACATGCAATTCAAAGTTGCGGAATTTGGTTGTACTTTCTCCATTAGCATTAAACAGAATATCTCAAAAGCAGCTTCACCTTCCCCGTTCCTTCCATACCCTGAAATCATTACATTCCAGATAGCAGGATCATCATATTTTACTTCCAACTGATCAAAAACCTTTCGGGCCAAAGGAAATTGTCCACACTTCATGTACATATCAATGATTGCGGTAACAATAAATTCATCATTAATGTTTTCCGTTCTAAAAATATATGCGTGAATCTCTTGGCCGAAACGGAGTGAGGACAGAGATGAGCACACCATCAGAAGACTAGTAACAGTCTTCACACTGGGAACGACACCGGCAGAAAGCATTTTCCTAAAGAACTTAAGAGCTTCATTCTCTTTTCGCAGCAGCGAAAACCCAGTGATCATTGAATTCCATGTTGCTGAATCTGGTTCCAGTCCTTCCGATTCTAATTCCACCAACAGCTCAACTGCTTTCTCCGTTTGCTCATTCAACATCATACCGGCAATCATCGAATTCCATGTTATCAAATTCCTGTTGCCACCCAGCTCTTTGAAGATTTCATATGCACATAACCAGCAACAGCATTTCGAATACATATCTAAAAGTGCAGTTCCCACCATTGTACGCGATTGTAACTCAATTTTCACAATAAGTCCATGAACTTGCCTACCAAACTTCACATTCTTAAGATTAGCAGTAGCAGAGAGAACCAATACTAAAGTCACTTCATTCGGTTCTTCGTCTAGTAACATCTTCTTAAACACATCCAAAACCACTTCCTCCTCCCCATTTCGCAACATCCCTGAAATAAACGCATTCCAGCACACCACATTCTTATTCTTAACCAATCCAAACAACCTCGTCGCAGAAACACAATCAACACAATTCAAATACATACTCAAAATCGACGCAACTACATATACATCCATTTCCACACCAATCTTTATACCCCAACAATGCATTTGAACACCATGATCAATCCTCACACACCCTGACAAAACACTAGCTATAGTAACTGAATCCGGCCTAATCAATAAACCACTAAATAACCCAAACATCTTAAAAGCATCAACATGATACCCATTTTGAGAAACCCCAGAAATGATTGCATTTAACGAAGCAATATTTGGTTGAGGAATTTCATCGAACACCTTCAGGGCACTTTCCACTAAGCCAAATTTCATGTACATGTCAGTAAGCGATGTGGCTGCATATACATCAGTGTTAAACCCGTGTTTTATCAAATGGCTATGAAGAATTTGACCTTGTGGTATAAATTTTAGCTTTGCACAAGCTTTGAAGAGACAAGGGAAGGTGAATTTGGTGGGAGATAAAGAAGAGTAATGGAGTTGGGAATACAAGTTAATGGCTTCTTTGTAAAGTCCATTGGCTACCAATTTTGCTATTTGAATCTTCATGGATTGTTCCCTTCATAGCAAGGGATGATTTTTCAGTTTTATCACCACGTACGATCATTATTTTTGTATATATCTATTTAAAGTTTGTATAAATCTGTAGTTTTTGAATTTTGTATAATATAATTCATACGTATGTTTGTAACAATTTGTTATTTTGAATTTTGTCATATAATTCCAGATATACGAGATGCGGATTATCAAATTATTGCCAACTCTGGCTTGGCTCTCTCCTTTCTCAATCTCGCTCGCGTCTCTCATCCCTCTCCCAATCTCGTTCGCTAGATATACAAATACAATATGCATATCAGTTACATATATACAATTATCTAACCGACATACATATATAATTTACCTCTTTCCTTCCTCTCTCAATCTCGCTCGTGACTCTCCTTCCTATAACATGTAGGTACAAATCAAAGTTACCAAATTATAGTTATGAAGCATAATCAAACTATTTTTGAATGACTAATGGGAAAGTTTCCCTCAAATAAATTCGTTTGATATGAAAAAATTAGTAATAGATTAGTGACTAATTCAATTTATACATTAAAGCTATAATTACATGAAAAACGTATACGATAAAAAAAATAATTATATGTCACCCAAGTTATAGTTTTGGCGTTTGATTGCTGATCTTATCTAATCTATGGGCATCTCAAAGCGGCAAAGCGGGCAGTAATGGCTATTCTGTAACCACTTTGTAATGCAATCTGCATGAAACATATGCGAGCAAGGCAAACGCAGTACTTGAGTTTCGTCCCCTATCTCATCTAGACATACCAAACAATCATCGTTGTTATTTCTTTCATCATTTTCAATCGTCTCTAGCAACTCTATTGATGATTTACTAGCTGGTACCATTTCAACCACAGATGATGATTCTTGCAATGCTAACAAAATTCTACCATCGCAATATTGATCAATCGTTAATGCTATTACCACACGTGCCTTTGACATCTCATTAGTACTCATGATGCTTTCCAACTTACGAGTTGTTTGTTCAACTATATTGTGATGTTGATCTTCAAACTCGTTCTTAAAATCCCCTAACAATTTTGATATAATGGAATCGAGTCTATCATAGAGCTTGATATCAGAAAGATGAATAACGATTGGAGATAAACTGGCCTTACCTTCCAATGTTCTACCCACACGTTCGGATGCTTGATCATTGGGTCTTATATACCAATATCGTTTCATTATAATGAATCTAAATTGAATGTTTAAATAGGGTAAAAAAGAAGTATATGAAGAAGTAATTGGAGGGATAATCAATTTTTTTTGGTTGGGAATTTGTTTAATTTTAACAAGAGAGGTCTTGACACAGCTATGACATACAAAGGTCAACATATTGCAAGTATTGAGAGGAGAAATTAATTATTTTTTTAAAAATTAGAACCTTCAAGTATATTTATAATATATTAGCAAACCAAAATTTATTAAGGAAAGGATTAGTGAGTGGGAAGCCTAATTTGATTGAGAAAAAGGATTTATTATAAGTGGGGGGAAAATTATGAAAAGTAATACAAGTACTTTAAATTAGAATAGGAGAAGGAAAAGTACACGTTTTGGGGAAATATAAATTGGAAACTTCAAATAATTATTTTTAAAATATTATTTATATCGTTTCGATTTTACGTATTATCGATTACTTTATTAATTTTCGATGTTGAAATATATTAAGATCAATAACTAAATCGATAAGATATTTTTATTGACTTTTGGTTTATTGACTTTTAATTTCTAACAGTTGGATTTTAAGAATCATAAATACAAAATTCATAAAATAATTATACGACTTTTCCAATAATTTGATGGAACAACGTAACAATCATAAAATAGAAAGAGTACTAACATGAAAAGTACTCTATAATATTAACCCACAAATAAACGAACTAGAATAATGTGAATTGTATGCTAATAAACAGATATTTATAAGATATCAAACCATATAACTCATTACACAATTTGAAATCATTCAAACAAACTACCATATATCATATATTAGTAACAGTAGCAACATAATGTACTACAAAATTGTTTTTGGCTTTAGATTGTTGATCCTGTAGGTAGTTTTGTCTAATCGGTTGGCATCTCAAAGCGGCAAAGCGGACAGTAATGGCTATTCTGTAACCACTTGGTAATACACTCTGCATGAAACATATGAGAGCAAGGCAACCGCAGTACATCAGTTTCCTCCCCTAGCTCATCTAGACATACCAAACACTCATCGTTGCTATTTCTTTCATCAGCTTCCATCGGTTCTAGCAACTCTATGGATGATTCACTAGCCGGTACCATTCCATCCACAGACGATGATTCTTCCAATGCTGACAATATTCTACCATCGCAGCAGTGATCAATCCGTAATTCCACATCCACACATACCTCTGACATCTCAGTAGTCGTGATGCTTAGCAACTTGCGAGTTGTTTGTTCAACTATAGCATGCTTTTGATCTTCAAACTCGTCTTTGAATTGCATAAACACTTGTGATAGAGCCTGATCAAGTTTCTCATAGAGCATGGTATTTGAAAGATGATTAATAATTTGGGTCGACTTGGTGGAACAGTCTTCCCGTACTCTACCCAGATATACAGATGCTTGATCATTGGGTCTTATAAACCAAAATTGTTGTAGTATACTGAAATTGAAGTGAATGGTTAAATAGGGTAACCAAGAAGAAGAAGAAGAAACAATTGGTTCAACGCTAACAAAAGATTTCTTGAAACAGTCATGGCATACAAACTCTGTTGGAAACATATTGCAATTTTTGAGAGACGAAATCAATATTTTTTTTTTACTAATGGGAGACTTAACCCATTTCAAGTTTATTTATAATATTACTATCAAACCTAAACTGATTAGGAATAGGATTAGTGAGTTTCTATATTAAAAAAGGAAATACGTGGGGGGGAATTTAGAGAAGTACACGTTTTTAGGGGAATACTACATAAATTGGGAACTTCTAATATTATTTGTAGTTTTATATATGGAAAAGAGAACACGTTTTGGAAATATTTTATAAATTGGGAAGTTCGAATATTATTTGTATTTTTATTTATGGAAAAGGATACATTTTAGGAAATACTCCATTAATTGGAAACTTCGAATATTATTTGTAGTTTTATTTATGGAAAAGTAATAAAAAAGAAATTGTTGATTGAACTTACCAATGCTCTCTCTCACTGTGACTTCCAGGCTAATAAGACCATAATTTCAGTACTGAAATCATAAAAGATGTTGCATTGCTATAACTTCGATGTCTGAGGTCAACTTACACGCACATAGCTAAATATAGCAAGTCAAAGTCTCAAAGATATAGCTACATCAAAAATCGCTTTTTTTAGGTAATTTTCACATATGGCAAATAAAAAATTCATATTTTTATGCTATAGCAAAATTTGCATAATTGCGCTCCATAACAAACATATAACTGTATAATTTGCTGGCCTCGCTATACATATACAATTGTATGATTCGCTGGCCTATTTCGCTGCAATTGTATAATTCGCAATTGTATAATTCGCTAGCCTATTTCGCCGCAATATGGGTATAAAATTTGCTTTGCATACAATTGAATCGAAGTAAAATATTTGTATATTGTATAATTATAAGTGTATAGAAGAAGATATATGTTTTTCTCTCGCTTTATACAAAAACAGAAACACAATTTATACACATCTATTGTATAAAGCGAGAGAAAATTGCATTTCACTGCAATTGTATAATTCGCTAACCTTTTTTGCTGCAATATTTGTATAAATTTGCATTTGTAGACAATTGAATAGAAGTAAAATGTTTGTAAATTGTGTAATTAAGTATATAGCACGAAGATGTATGTTTTTGCATGTGTATATACAATTTTCTCTCACTTTATACAAAACAGAAACACAATTTATACACTTCTTTTTGTAAAAAGCGAGAGAAGCGAGCAGAGAGAGAGAGTGGCGAGCGAGAATAGGAAAGTGGCGAGCGAGAATGGGAGAGAAGAGACTGACAAACTTTAGCAAACGTTTGCTATGGTGCACAATTAAATCAAACAATAGCTACTCCATTTATTTTAGGTTATTAGTTTGCTATTATATACAATTATCCATTTTTTTTAAAGACAAGGCACGCACTATTCATTTTATCTCCAAAACTAAATCACAAATTCGACAGCTTGAGTAAAATTGACAGGGCAAGACATGTGAGAAGCATAAGCGATTAAGCGGGTAACAAGTATAAGCTATAAAACGAAGTGTGCATTCTATTCTATTCTAAGAAGAGAAGCAACTCATACTAACGACCACACAAACATAAAATATAAGTTGCTCATCAAATTCAAGCTCAAATGTAACGATAACCAAATCTGGAAATCATACCTTATAGAACTCATGTTGAGGATGTGAAGGACCAGGTATTTCATTGTATACCTGCATAAGCTTCGTCTCTACTGCACTTAACTGGACGTCCTCCACATTTGCTAGCGACCTAATATCTTCAACATTTCCCAAAAGGGAACAATACCGTCCATTTGAAAAGCCTATACTTCATCCATTTCATTATCCCTTACTCTCTGATCAATAGGAAAGAGTGAGAAAAAATTGTTCAGTAAGAAATCTGATTCTAAGAGTTTACCAATAAACAAACAAGAGGTGAATACACCCTGAAATAATAATGGGAAACAAGCACAATACTACAGAAGAATGTATACAAAAACTAACAGAATGTGAAAAATGTAAACACCAACAGAGAAACAAATGTTACAAGAGGCATAATAAAAAAGATGAACATGAAGAAACATGATTAAGCAATTAAGAAGCAACATGAGATATATACAACTACAAACAGGTTATTTAAAAAAGAAACAAGGAACCAATGACATGGTAACTAGAAGTCTAGAACTAACTCTGATGTTCTCTTGAAAATGAGGAGGAAGTTCTTTTGCATAACTTTTGGAAAGCTTAAAGTACAAGACAAAACTCATTCCTTAACCATCAGTTTCACACTGAAAAATTGCAGTAGGATATAAGGGTACTTGTAAAAAAGAAAGAAAAATCGGCGAAAACAGCATCTTAGCTACTCAAATGAGTGAATATTTTAATATAAAATGAGCCAGAGCTTGTATGGTACCTGAATACACTTATTCGCTTAAAGCTAAACTAAATGGTACCTGAATATTCACTACAAGAATGGATGGAGGTGTCCCTGAGTGTTCAATGAAAGGAAATTCCATCAACACCAAAAGGATAATATGCAGCCTAATTTGCTGCAAATGCTACAGTCATAAAATCTCCAGCCAATTTTTTGGCAATTGTCTTGGCAGGCTTAATCTGAAACTGTGGAAATCAGAGAGAACCCAAGGGAAAAAATAAAAAGGTAAAGGGGAAACCACCACAACCAATTCAAAATGGGAAGGATGAGATAAAATAGATTGATACTGAAACAACCAGTAACAATAATGAGAGCAGCCAAAAGAAGGTGACGAGAAAGTTGTCAAGCGCGAAAGAGAGCTTTTATCACACTATGAATCACAAGGTATGGACTTCCAAGAAGCTTCCTTTAAGGTCATTGAGAATCTCCAGGGTGCTCTCTTCAGGGGGCTCAACACTTCTCGAAATGACAAGACTCGCAACAATAATAGGAATGTGTCATCTGAAACCTCTAGAAAACTCGACGTTATCAGTGCTTGACTGCTCAGCCTTGACATGAAAGTTGACTCCAAGCCAGGCTAACCTCCTCTGGTGGCCTTCTTCAAGTTCTCCATCGTGTTGCAGAATCGGTAGTCCAAATTCGGAACTCTGTTAGAAATGATAATAACTCAAAGTGTTGGGTATGTAGCAAGAATTGATGGGAAATAGAGGGAAGGAGAGGAATTTGAAAAGTTTAGAACTTGAAAGGTTGGGAACTTGAAAAGTCCTCTAATGCTTTATTGAAAAAGGCAATAGTCCCTCATCAGTAGTGGAAATGAAAATAGGAGAGTTTAAATAAATAAACACTCCTATTAATTGTTAAAAGGGTTGGAAAGAGGGACCCCTCGCGCCGTCGTCGTCGCTCGCTTCAGCTTTGGCAAATGATCGAGAGATAATTTTTTGGCCAAAAATATTTTCAACTCTTTAGTTAACCCGATCCGACTCGGATCCGCGTGAGTGACCCGTTTTAAATTCCGTTATATTCAAAATTTCCCGCCATGACTGTTCTGAAAGGTTGCAACTTTCAGGAACAGTCAATACCATTTGAAAGTTTGCAACCTTTCATTAATGGTCGTATCAATTCTGAAAGGGTAGCAACCTTTCAGAATATATTATTCTTGCCTATAAATACCATTCAGTCTTCAGAATATTTCCTAACGAAATTTTCTGATCTTCCTTCTTTTTAAAAACACATATATTTCTTCGTGTACTTTACTGCTGTGGATTGATTCTCTGACAGTAGAGTTTTTGGTATCTATACTCTACTGATTAAGATCATTTTACCCTGGAGGTTATATTCCAAATCAAACCTCGGATACTAGAGGGTAATAATTTCCTTAAGGGGACACTGTGAATTCAGTGGACTTGATTTTCTTCCTGGATTTTTCAAAAGAGTATTCCAAATTCTGGTAAGTTTTACAAATTAAATTATTTTTTACAAATAAATTTCTGTTCATCTTATTTACTGGTTCTAAAAATCTCAGTTTCTTCGTGTTTCTGAATGATTTATTACAACCAGTAATTTATGTTTTTCTTAACACAGATTGGCAACAATCTTAAGGAAATTAAATAAATCTGTGTTTCTGGTGGAGACAAAAATCTTTGTGATTTTATACTCCTTTAAGTCTGCAATTATAATTTATTGCTTACTTATATTGTATCAATTTTATTTATCAGAAATGGAAAACACTGGTGTTACAGTGGTTGTTGCTGCACCAACCCGAACTCTTGTATCATAAGCAGAGAAACCGGGTAAATTCACAGGTGTGAATTTCAAAGGATGGCAGCAACGAGTATTTTTCTGGCTTACCACTCTTGGTCTGCAGAAATTTACAAGTGAAGATACTCCAGTTCCTGCTGATGATATGCCAAACAGGGAAAAATTTATGATTGTTGAAGCATGGAAACAGTCAGACTTCCTATGTAAAGGTTACATTTTGAGTGCTTTAGAGGATGACTTATATAATGTCTATAGTGCGATAACAACTTCAAAAGAGTTGTGGAATGCACTTGAGAAGAAATATAAGACAGAAGATGCATGCTTGAAAAAGTTTGTGGTCGCAAAGTTTTTAGACTATAAAATGACAGATAGTAAAACTGTTGGATCACAAGTGCAGGAACTTCAACTTATTCTCCATGATCTGATTGCTGAAGATATGGTAGCAAATGAAGCTTTTCAAGTGGCTGCAATGATCGAGAAGTTGCCTCCTTCGTGGAATGATTTCAAGAATTATCTAAAGCACAAGCGTAAAGAAATGAAGCTTGAAGATCTTGTGATTCGGCTCAAGATTGAGGAAGATAACAGAAATGCCGAAAAGAAGTCGCGTAAGAGTTCAACAATCAATGGAG